GCAAGCGCAGGACAGGAAAGTCCGAGTGAAAGCGCTCGCCTAGCTGGAGACGGGCTCGGCTGATCCAGGGGATCAAAACACCAGGGACGTCACCCTTGGCGCGCAAGGGGAAGACCGTGGTGTAGCGCGAGTAGTCGTCAACAACTATCAGGAAGTACCTCTCCTGACCCTGACCACGGACGCGGGCCGGGCCCCACACGTCCATGTGGAGCGTCTGCAGGGGAGCGGTCGTCGGGGGAAAGGAGGAGGAGTGAGGAGCGGCGCGCTGCCGCCCCTCGACACAGGGAATGCAGTCAGGAGCAGGGGAGTCAGGAAGGGGAGGGAGCACCCTGGGAAGACCAGCAACAAGGTCCCGTTTGTGCATGGCCCGCAGGCGCTGCACAGACGGGTGACCAAGGCGGTGGTGCCAGAGGACGGTGTCGTTCGCCAGAGAGCGACACGAGCAGGGGGCGGACAGCTGACCTGACGCTGACGCAGACGCAGCTACCTGAGGGGACTCAGTGGTCAGTGTGTACAGGTCAGACCCCGGCTCTCGAGTGAAAGTAGCTAGGTGGCGGCCCGTCCGAGCACACGTGCAGTGAGTCACACGCTCGTAGGCAGGGGTGAACTGGTGAACACCCGAGTCCTGGAGCGCACTACCTGCCACCAAGTTCGTGGAGAACGAGGGGAGGTAGAGACCTGAGAGCGTGCCGGACGGAACCGCTGGACACGGAAGGGTGGTGGAGGAGGTCGCAAGGACCGGACCCCCAGAGGGGTCAGCAAGAGAGACAGCAACCGGCCGAGCTAGAGGCTCAAGGACAGTGCGGTCACGAAAGAAAGAGCGAGAAGCACCTGAGTCCAGTGTGAAGGTGTGCAGTGCTGCAGTCGACTCAGTACCAGGGGGCACAGACGCACAAGCACCTAGAGCAGCAGCTGCAGAAGTACCTGCGGAAGCAGACACACTAGCACCTAGAGCAGCAGCAGGGCTGGCCTGAATGCCCGGGTCGGGCGGAACACGCAAGTACTGAGCACCCTCTCCACTAATAGACATCGCATACATGGCAGTGAGAATAGCATCAAAGTCAAGTGCCCAAATATCAACACCCTTCCTGAGCAGATCAGCCCAGCGCGGCAGCTCACCCCCACCAGGAAACTGAGTGCGCCACGCATCGTTGAGGCGGGCGAAGCAGCGCTCCGTCTGGTGCGGCCCCCCACACGTCTGGCCAGTGCGGTCACCTGTACGAATAACGTACTGACAGGTGACGCTGCGCCGCGCATACCACTCACGGGCGGCCTGAAGGGTCGGGGCAGGCTGCTGACTCTGACCGCCCCCCGGGCCTCCACGACCACCACCCCCTCCGCCTCCGCCCCGGCCACCTCCACCCCTGCCGCTGCCACGACCACCTCCGCCTCCGCTGCCACCTCCGCCCCTGTCACCACTCCCAACACCGCTGTCACCTCCACCACCGCCGCCACTAGCCTCTCCAGTCGCACCTCCACCGCCACCACCTCCACCCCCGCCTCCTCCGCCACCACCCCCACTCCTGCCACTCCTGCCCCTGCGTCGTCCGCCTGAAGCAGACGCAGCCCCGACCTTCTCAGCACCAAGGAGGTCGACAGCAGCAGCAGAGGCGACAGAGGGGAGGAGGGGGGAAGGGGAGCACCCCTCGAAGAAGGGGCCGCGGGGGTCGCCACGAGAGGTGCCTACAGCGACGATACTAGCCTCGGCTGCAAGCAGTTCCTTCTCGAGGAGGGCTATGGTGAGCTCAGTGGGGGAGCGAGAGAGGAACTGGTCCCTGACAGGGCGCAGAGAGTCAGGGAGGCGGGTGACAACGTGGTAGAGAGTGATCCAGAGCGGGGGGGGGTTGCTAGCGAGGAACTCGTCAGGCATGGCAGCGCGAAAGCGAGCCTCACTAGTCTTAAGGTGGGTGATGAGGTCTGCGACAGTGTGAAAAGAGGCTAGGTCGGGGAACAGGTAGGGGAGAGTGAGGCGGCCTAGTGTGGCAGAAGCGGGTGAGGAGTAGCGGGCCACTACAGCTGTGTAGAGGTCCTTAGCAGTCTTGCACTGGCCGAAGTGCTCGCGCTCATCTAGCGGCAGGGAGTTGCGAATAGCAAAGCGAGCGTGCGCGTCACGGGTCTGCCACTGTGAGCGCTCAGCTGGGGGGGCAGTAGCGAGTGGGGCGGTCGCATGGCCGAGAGCGTGGTCGTACAGTGTAATATCTTCCTTGGCAGTGAGCTGTAGGAAAAGGTGCAGGTCATCTAGCCAGGTTTCGAATTTGACCGGACGGCCCTCGGCGTCGAAAGCTAGAACAGGAGGACTAGCCATAGCGACAGCGGTAGTAGTAGAAGCAGTAAAGTCACTGAACAGGCGTGCGCAGGGTCAGCAGGGCCGGTGGGGCCTACGGACTGTAGTGGCGCACAAGCAGCAGTAGTAGGAAGTGCAGTGGTGCACAGGCGCAGCAGGCGGCAGCGAGAGCCGGCGCAGCAGGGGCGGGCTCAGCAGCGGTGGTGCGCGGGCGGCGGCGGGCTCAGCAGCGGCGGTGCGCGGGCGGCGGCGGGTTCAGCAGCGGCGGTGCGCGGGCGGCTGCGGGCTCAGCAGCGGCGGGCCGGGAGCAGTGCGGGCAGCGTGCGGGCCGGCGGCGGTCAGCGCACGAGCCGCGCAGGCTCAGCGCGGGCTGCGCGGGCTGCTCGCGGGCTGCGTAAGCGGGTCGCGGGCGGCTCGCGGGGGTTCGCGGGCAGGTCGCGGGCTGCTCGCGGGCAGTTCGCGGGCTGTGCGCGGGCTGCGCGGGCTGGTCGCGGGCTGCGCAGGCGGGTCGCGGGCTGTGCGCGGGCGGTTCGCGGGCTGTGAGCGCGGCGCGCTGTGCGGTTCGCGGGCGGCGTGACGGGGCCGATCGGGGCGCTAAGGGGCGACGCGACGGGGGCCGTGAGAGGCCGCTAAAAAAAAAAAAATTTCGACGGGGCCGCAGGGCCGCTAGATCTTGCTAGATCGACGGGGCCAGCGGGGCCGGAAACAAGCGAAGGTAAGCAGGTAGGTAAGTCGGTGGGCCCTAAGAACAGTCCTAGCGAAGGACCTGCTCTGAAACCATGTCAGAAATAACTGAGCAGGAATGAATGAACTAGAACAGAGTTTGGTACAAGTAGGAAACCCTAACTTTGTGTACCCCCTAAGGTGTAACCCACTACAGCCTAGACAATATAAACATGCAATGTTTGACACTTTCCACAAATCTTAAATACAATGGCATTGTTTTAATATAAATTCTCCTATGTTTCATTCTCAGATTCGTTCACGACGCAGGCTCAGGGTTTGGAGATTCAGTCTGAAGTCTTGGGACGACTCTTCTCAAGGTTTCAGGTTTCGGATTTCCACTCTATGACAGCGGGCGAGCGGCAAGCTGCATTGGACGCGCTTTGTGGCCGGTGGCATGTGAAGGTATGTGAATTCAATTGTTAATCTTTTATTTGTTTGCTAAGATTTTTGTTCACTTGTGTAATGTGCACTTTAGTATGTTTACTTTCTTTTTTTTTTTAATGTGATGATTGATAGCTCTCTAATTCAAAGTATCGTTTATTGCTATTGAAGGTCCACTTTCGTTCAGACGGAGCACGCGTGAGCAAGACCATCTTGGACATCTCGACGATCACGCAGTTAATCGACGCTACAACAAGCTTTGACACATCGAGCACACCGATTTCGTCAACACCCGCCAAAAGGAGACAAGACGTGAGCATATTTTTTATTGTGATTTTCTACATGTACCCGTCATAATGGTAGTTTGATTAATGTTATGATTTTTTTTTCCTTACATTTGAAAATTGCCCTTTTTTTTTTTTTGCAGCGATGGTGAAGCTGTGAGCGATTTGAAACAACGGAGAAGATGCTCACAGGAGTTATAATGTCATAATTTCGATGGGTTAAATCTTATACATTTGAACAGATTATTATAATGAGTACAGACCTGCGTGAGCGTGAGAACAATTAGCGTGAGAGATATTAATAAGCGACTGTCTCTTTAATTTGTGTGGTTATGCGTTGTGTTGTGCGCGTATGCCCTTTCATTCATGTTTCCATTGCATTAATAACGCATGTCTGTGAGGTTTAAAAATTGGGATCAAACTATCATTTCCGAGAAGGTTCTTTGCGCACTCAGTGAGTGTGTCCATTTGAACTGGATTTGATGGAATTGACCTTTTTTTTAGATCACACAGATTGTGTTATTTCATGTGATTGTTGGATGATTCATGTGCTAAGCTATTGGCTTCCCCCCCATGCTAGGCAGGGGATGCGGTAGCCTAGTGTATGGGTCAACTAACTATCACACATTTCAATCATCTTACTTATTCACAACATTGGTGTAGCACATATATGCATATACTACTCATACAACTATAGCATATACATCATATTATGCATTATCATTTCATGTTTGGCTCACTATATTCATTGTTATGCATGCATTTCATCCTCATTTATGTCCGACAAAATATTACTGCGTATGCATTACAAAATATACAGTGCAGGTTTGGAATAACATCGAAGAGAATCATAATTCATACATACGAAGAGTCTGGCCAGCAAAATATTTGTAAGAAATACAACGGTTCCATACCACGTGGTGGGCTCAAATGACATTATTTTGGATCACTTTCTATGTAAATAAATAGAGTACGAATACGGAAAAAAAAACTGTACATAACGATCGCAATAGGTTGCTTCGCAACCCAAAAAAAATCTGACATAATCTATGCAGCGAACTGTATTGTGGCACTGGCAAGACAGCAATGTAACAACACAGATATGCAAAGCTCTCATATATACTGGTTCTTTATAACAAATGATGTAATTCTCAAGATAGTACACCCATATAATATGGTAGGTGGTGGTTGTGCAATGTGCAGAAAGCCTATCCATCCCTTGAAAAACTCTCGGGGTGGTGGTGCAAGAAGCTGGTTCAACAGTTGAAAATGTTGCCAAACTGTCAAAAATTGGGCCTTCGTCCATCCGTATGTTTACCAGCAGATTATGATATTACTGTAGATGGTGGTGGTGCAAGAAGCTGGTTCAACGCTGACGGGGATGGCCCAAACACGTCTTCAGGCAGATAAAACGGCAGGTTTAGTCTCTGATACAAGATAGGGTATAACACAATGAGGAAAGTTGTGGGATTATATGATAACGTAGAACATAAGCTTGTAGCATACAAGCAGAATTCACCCGCACAAAGAAAAAAGGAAGAGATACAGTAAAAAAAAACAAAAACATTTTACCTGAGCAAACACCTGGTCGGAATCACTGTGGTCCTGAGGGCGACCAGCTGCATCTCCCACAAAGAATGAGCTGGGGGGGACGGGAAGCAGAGGAGGGAGGAAGGAGTTGAGGAAGTAATGCAGGAACGCGGAATCACTGCGGTCGGGAGGAATGCAGCTGCGTCTCCCACGAAGAATGAGCTGTGTGGGACGGGAAGCAGAGGAGGGAGGAAGGTGGCAAGGAGTGGCGGCACACGGGATGCAAAATGGAGGATTATGAGTTGACTGAAATCCCAGTGGTTCTGAGGGCGACTAACTGCATCTCCCACAGAGAATCTCGCGAGGAGGCAGGTGTGAGGAGGGGAGGCAGGTATGAGGAGGGGAGGCAGGTATGAGGAGGGGAGGCAGGCAAAAGGATCATGGAGGGTTGGGGAAATGCAGGGGATGGGGAGTGCAATTGGGTTGAGGAGGTCCAAGCTGGAGTTTGAAGTCTCTGGTCTGTACAGCAGAGATAGAATACCCCTTGTGGTAGCAGCAGCACCGTCACATGCCACAACACACTCACTCACCTCTCCCCATCGACTTGTCTCTCTTCATTCCCACACTCGCACAGCATATGCCATAGCACACTTCTTGGTAGCACCACAATCACCTGCCACCACACACTCACTCACCTCTCCCCAATACATGTCACTCACTCACCTCTCCCAAACCACTGGTCTCTTTTCGTTCCCACACTCGCACATAAGGTGCCACAGCCCCCTTTGCCACAGCAGCACCACCACATGTCACTCACTCACCTCTCCCAAACCACTGGTCTCTTTTCGTTCCCACACTCGCACATAAGGTGCCACAGCCCCCTTTGTCACAGCAGCACCACCACATGTCACTCACTCACCTCTCCCAAACCACTGGTCTCTTTTCGTTCCCACACTCGCACATAAGGTGCCACAGCCCCCTTTGTCACAGCAGCACCACCACATGTCACTCACTCACCTCTCCCAAACCACTGGTCTCTTTTCGTTCCCACACTCGCACATAAGGTGCCACAGCCCCCTTTGCCACAGCAGCACCACCACATGTCACTCACTCACCTCTCCCAAACCACTGGTCTCTTTTCGTTCCCACACTCGCACATAAGGTGCCACAGCCCCCTTTGTCACAGCAGCACCACCACATGTCACTCACTCACCTCTCCCAAACCACTGGTCTCTTTTCGTTCCCACACTCGCACATAAGGTGCCACAGCCCCCTTTGTCACAGCAGCACCACCACATGTCACTCACTCACCTCTCCCAAACCACTGGTCTCTTTTCGTTCCCACACTCGCACAGCAAATGCCAGAGCCCCCCTTCTGGTTTCCGGAACAGGTCACCTGAGTTGCTGCGACCACAGGAAATGAAGATCTGGAGGGGAGGAGGGGATGAAAGGGGAGAGCAGAAAGGTAGAGGGGAAGGGGAAAGGGCAAGAGAGTAAGGGAGGGAGTGAGTGATTGAGATGGCTTTCGGAACAAGACCCCTGAGTTGCTGCGACCACAGGAAATGAAGATCTGGAGGGGAGGAGGGGAAAGGATGGAAGTGGGACGGGGAGAAGTGAGTGAATGATATCCTGAGTTGCTGTGTCCTCAAGCGATGAAGACCTGGCGGGTAGGAAGGGATGAAAGGGGAGAGAGAAGAGGGAAAACGGAAGGGAAAGCATTGAAGTGGGAAGGGGAGGTGAGTCATTAAAATGGTTTTTGGAACAAATCCCCTGAGTTGCCGTGACCAAAGGATATGAAGAAAGCAGAGGAGAAGGGGGGTAATAAAGGAAGGAGAGAGAATGAGGGGAATGAAGCTTCCAATCCAAGTAGCCTCGTGGCACTTTCAACAGGTCCCCTGCGTTGCTTCGACCACAAGAGCTGAAGATATGGCGAACTAAGAGCAAGCCTACTACAAACAACTTTTTAACTAACACTAAGCTGCTGCCACGCAAAGTCATGCCTCCTAAGTGGGGTTCCCTTCGACCACAAGAGAAGCGAAGATATGGCTCCTAAGTGAAGCAAAGGAGAAGAAGGGAGGGGTAACGGAGACGCAGGAGAGGGAAAAGGGAGAGGGAAAAGGGAGAGGGGAAAGGGAGAGGGGAAAGGGAGAGAGAACAAGGGAAGATAGAGTTGCAATCCAAGTCTCGTCAATTCAAGGCTAGTCAGTTCAGGTCAAGTAAGTCACACTGTAGCGTCAAGTCACACTGTAGCGTCAAGTCACACTGTAGCGTCAAGTCACACTGTAGCGTCCCCTGGGTTGCTGCATCCCTATCTCCATTGTCCATTCCCTTCTAACTCCCCCCTCTTCCGCACGATACCCATATACATACCTGCATGCACCACACATCTGCATGCACCACACATCTGCATGCACCACACATCTGCATGCACCACACATCTGCATGCACCACACATCTGCATGCACCACACATCTGCATGCACCACACATCTGCATGCACCACACATCTGCATGCACCACACATCTGCATGCACCACACATCTCGATGGGCACTCTTGGCACCGCGTCATCTGACTTTGACCTGCATGCATACCCGGCAATACATACCTGCATGCATACCCGGCAATACATACCTGCATGCATACCCGGCAATACATACCTGCATGCATACCCGGCAATACATACCTGCATGCATACCCGGCAATACATACCTGCATGCATACCCGGCAATACATACCTGCATGCATACCCGGCAATACATACCTGCATGCATACCCGGCAATACATACCTGCATGCATACCCGGCAATACATACCTGCATGCATACCCGGCAATACATACCTGCATGCATACCCGGCAATACATACCTGCATGCACCACACAGCTGCATGGGCACGCCTGGGACTAAGCCCATGAATCCATTCAGCCGCCCAATCTCGCTCCCAATGGCCTCTGTGGCAGCCTGCTAGCTCGTGCCCCGCCCTTGCTGCAGCACACTTGTCCCGTGCAACCCCCATCATGCCGGCACACCCACTCACACACCTGCATACTTATGAACCAACAGCACACACCTGCATGGGTACGCCTGGCACGGCGCGCATGAATCCATTCAGTCGGCCGATCTTGCTCTCAATGGCCTTGTGTCGCTGCTTGGTGAAGCGATCGATGTTGGACTCGTTGGTGAAGATGACCTGGCATGGGGGGGCCAAGGCGGAGGGGTGAGAAAGAAGGGGGTGCAGCTTGCAGGTTTGACAAGGGGGGTCACTTTCAAATCTGCTTGGTGAAGCAATTGATGTTGGACTCGTTGGTGAAGGTGCCTGACATGGAGGTGCGAGGCGGAGGGGCCATCTTCACCAACGAGTCCAACGTCGATCACTTGCACCCCCATCTAGCGTGGCGGAGGGGTGAGAAAGAAGGGGGTGCAGCCTGCAGGTTTGACAAGGGGGGTCACTCTCAAACGTGGTGGGGAGGTGGGGGGGATTTGACACAAGGGATTGACAAGGGGGGTCACTTTCAAATCTGGTTGGTGAAGCGATTGATGTTGGACTCGTTGGTGAAGATGACCTGGTGAGAGTTGACACACGGGGAGATGTGGCGAAGGGGAGAGAAGGGGGTGCAGCCGGCAGGTTTGACAAGGGGGGTCACTTTCAAATCTGCTTGGTGAGGAGGTGGGGGGGATTTGACACAAGGATCAAACCATGTGGAGGGTTGACATAGGGTTTCTCAAATCCTGCAGGTTTGACATAGGGGGTGCAGCCTGCAGGTTTGACATAGGGTAGCCTGCAGGTTTGACATAGGGTAGCCTGCAGGTTTGACAAGGGGGGTCACTTTCAAATCTGCTTGGTGAAGCGATTGATGTTGGACTCGTTGGTGAAGGTGTCTGACATGGGGGGGTTGAAAAGAACCTGTGTCAAATTAAGTGAAGGTTTGACATTGTCGGAATAGGGGTCGCTCTTGAGTGTGCTGAGGAAGCGACAGGTTTTTGACTTGCTTGTGACGATGACCTGGTAGGGTGAACTGCCTTTTGAGTCGACTCAAAAAGGTTGTGAGTCTAGGCAAGTGGGCCTTCAAATTTTGAGGGTTTTGGTTGCAGTGATTGGGTTTGATGGTGTAATGAAAAACGAAGTTGAAGATTGAGCAAGCAAAAGGAAATTAGGGGAAATGTAACTACAGCTTGAAGCGTCGCAAAACTCACGATTTTGTAGCCTGCTTGGTGAAACTGCTGCAGAACGCTGGGAACTGTTTCAAACATGAGAGACCAGGCGTTTGGGCCCATGCTGTAGGATAAAGGAGACAGGGGGATTTGACATGGGTGGAGAGAGATTAACGTTGGTTGAAGCTGCTGCAGAACGCTGTGAACTGTCTCAAACATGAGAGACCAGGCATGTGTGGGGATGGGAGAGGACAAGGCGCATGTTTGACAGTGGTTGAGGAGGGGCGTGCAGTGAAGTTGAGAACCCTGGGAACGGTTTCCACTTGTGTCATGTCAACACATAGGTGTTTCCACTTGTGTCATGTCAACACATAGGTGTTTCCACTTGTGTCATGTCAACACATAGGTGTTTCCACTTGTGTCATGTCAACACATAGGTGTTTCCACTTGTGTCATGTCAACACATAGGTGTTTCCACTTGTGTCATGTCAACACATAGGTGTTTCCACTTGTGTCATGTCAACACATAGGTGTTTCCACTTGTGTCATGTCAACACATAGGTGTTGTCGAAGCAGCGATCGAAGTCAAAAGCACCAATCGCACCCTCCTTTCAAATCACAACCACGTGCAGCCTCTTCCTAGTCCTTACAGCTACAACTCCTGCCCTCAACTCACATGCGCACATTGGTGTTGACCAGGCAACCACACTGGTGCCACATCACACGTGCACACTCTAGTTCGTGTCTCTACCTTGTTCTCAACTCACATGCGCATGTTGGTGTTGACCAAGCAGCTGTCAAAATCAAAGGCTGGAAGCCCCCTCCCTCCCTCCTCCCCCCACACCACATCCAACTCTACAGCACCCCATTATCCCCCCCCTCAACTAACATGCGCACGTTGGTGTTGACCAAGCAGCCATCGAAATCAAAGGCAGCAATTCGACTTGATGGCTTCAAATCAGGGCTCTGAAGGGAAGGAGGAACAGATACGGAGGAAAGAAAGGATGGGATGAGATGGGATGAGATGGGATGGGATGGGATGGCATGGCATGGCATGGCATGGCATAGTGTATTCTTGAGGCGCCTCAAGAGGAGCATAGCACAACAGGGGGAATGGGCAAGCATCACAGAGGGGACTACCAGGAGAACTACCAGGAGAACTACCAGGAGAACTACCAGGAGAACTACCAGGAGAATGGGAAGGCACAGCGAATACCTCGTGAAGGATGACGGAGGAGAATCCGAACCAGCCAGGAGGCAGAGGAACGCCCTGAAAGGGAGGAGAGGATGATGAGAGGGGGCAATGAAGAAAGGGTAGTAGGTTCTAGCTAGCTGTTCCCCTGTGTTTCACAGTGCGAACGGTGTGAGTGGGATTAGTGTGCGTCAGAACCGTGGGTGTGGATTGGGAACAGATTACCCAGACGAAAATATGTTTCAGACAGGATGAGACAAACAAGTGTTGATTTAACTTGAAACCTACGTTGTAAGAGAAAATACAATCACTCCTTGACGATTCTTATCAAAGGCTACAACCTTTCCAAATATAAATCCCACATAGTTAAAACTTCAAACCACCTGCAAGCTTCTTATGCTGCTGCAGTAGGGGGTCCTCTGCGGTGCATGTGTGTGGGCTCCATGATTCCACATCTGTCCTTTTGGAACTCCACAAGCTCCACAAGAGCACCCTCTCCTTTCCCCACCACACGCCCTTCCTCTCCCCTTCCTTCCACATCCACTCCCGCTCCTCTCCCCCCCACACCCCCTCCCTCTCGTTCCATCAAACTTCCGTCCTCATCACGCCTCCCGCATTCAGATTTGCCCCTTCCAGCTAGCCGCTCGCAACCATCCCCTCCCACTTCCTTGCGCCTCTCGTAACCCAACTACATCTTCTGCCCCTCTCCCAAACCTGATCCTCTCCAAGTCACTTGTTGTGGTGCCTCTCCAAGTCACTTGTTGTGGTGCCTCTCCAACTCACTTGTTGTGGTGCCTCTCCAAGTCACTTGTTGTGGTGCCTCTCACAAGCCCCCAAGCTCCTCACAGCCTTATTCCCCCCAACCGTCTCTTATATTCCTACGCCTCCAGTCCGAGCCACCTCTTGCAAACAAACGCCCCTTTCTTCTTGCCTCTTTTAACACACACCTTTTCTTTTCCCCTTGCATACTTCTCTTCCTGAAATTGATCTAAGGCCCTAGGGTGAAATATCCGGGTAATTGCGGTACCGAGGTTCAACCCCGAACCAAAAGCTTCTACCGCATTAAGCGAACTTTCAACCCCCCTACTTACCCTGATTTTTTTTTAGCTATTAACATGTTCAAGTTGAACAAAGTCGAACATGCTCGGATTTGGTTCTTGCTCATGTCTAACTGTGCATACAATAATGTCAAGTTGGGAGTGAGAAGTTTGGATGGGTTGGAAGGAGGTCAATTTATGTCAGGCGAACATTTGTGCACTGCAATGCGGAGGCTACTAAAGGGAGAGGGGAGCGGGAGCACCAAGGGGAATTAGATGCACATTTTTGAAAAGTTCGGCCGGCCCAACTATAAAAGGTTTGCAACAAATGCAAACAGGTTCTCTTCGAGTTGCCATTTTGTTGTAGTCACATTCAAAGTAACATTGTGCTTTTGGGAAGGTCTTTACCAAAACCGGTTTTGCGGGATACGGGGTTATGGGAGGTGTAGATGCACACTTTAACTTCCCATGTGCAAGTAAGCGGGTGTGGTATGCTTGAGTGGTTCAGATACGCTCAAATCTGGCATTTCGCCACCAAGTCCCCATGTATCAAGCATTTCGCCGCGCCGATTCTGGGACCATCATGGTTGAAATAGCTGGTGGGTAGGATGCAATTATGGGCTTGGAGTGCAATCTTATGTTGAGCCGTGTTCAGTACTTCACGTCACAAACGTTATTCATGACTAACTATGATGCTCCAAAACCATGAACAGTGACGTTGCAGTCATCTGGTTGGTTGTTCATGATTTTGGAGCATCACAATTAATTACGAATAACGCTTGTGACGCAAATTTCTGAAGACGCGTCAACATAGGGTCACACCCTTAAACTGTTCAGGTTCAACGCAACATGGGCGAACAAGAAAGATTCGGACGAACAGTTCGGCCAAGCTTTTCCCAATCCGTTGCGAACATTGTTAGCTGAAAGAGGTTCGCTTTGACAACTGTCAGACCTGTTCGATCGAACCGAACCCTAAACCCGAAACCCTAAACCCTTGACCAAACAGTTGTTCGACAGGACGCTCATGCTTGTTTATGCGAAAACAATCTTCAAAGTCCATGAGGGTAAAGGGTAAGAGTATGAGTCAAGCAATCCTCAAAACTAAAAAAAAAAAAAAAAAAGAGTGTCTGCTAAATCATATTGAAACAGGAAAAGGCTGAAATAATCGAGCACATGCAGCTGCACAACTTCGCACTACCTCCTAATCCTCCAGGCACAGTTGCATCAACGATAGACGTGCTAAAACTGACAACCATAACTCAAGGTTCATGCATGCGCACAACTTTGCTCAAAGCGATCGAACACACTAAAGCCTCCAAGATTTATTCGAGGCAGCCTCTTACTCCTACTCCCCTAACCCTAGAACTCCTTCCCCCTTCGTCCGCTTTTGTCGACTGCTTCCTTTTCCTCAGTGCTCTCTTCAGACAATTTTACTAGTGCCGTCTTCGGCCACTCTCGATACATCGCTCCTCGTGCGCTTGCGAGCTGCTTTAAGCCGAGCCACGTCGCGTTCTACTAGCCAACTAGATGGTATCATGCCCGGCTGCCCACATAGTGGGTTGCATGTGATGAGCAAGTGGTGGAACTGTGACATTGAGGGTTAAGAAGGCAATGATTGACAAAAGTGAGGTTTGAACTCGTCTACAATACTGACCTAAAAAAGAAACAGCTGAAGGCTGAGTGAGAAAAAGGCATGATTGCGCTTGCGCCGATAACTCACCTCCCTTGAATCCACCACCTCCCTTGAATCCACCACCTCCACTCGGATGTTGTAATCGGCCACAAACTTTGCAATGGCACGTCGAAGGCGCGGCTTCAAAAGATTCCGATCCATATAGTTATTGATATCCACTAGCTCTTCTCCTATAGCTCGCGACCAGCAACGGGAGGCTGTGGCGCTCTCCGCGGTGCTACCCCACTCGGCTTGCCCTGGTATCGACCATTAAAAAGTAAGTCAAGTTAGTGCTCCCACTCAAATGCTCCCAAGCATCGTCAAGCACCTCACCATGTGTCTGCTGCAGTTTTTAGAGGTGCCTGCTTTGGACAAGATGCACGCCTTACACACCTTGCAAATTCCTACTTGGCTCTTCCCCATGTCATGTCATAGCAGGGTGCCACTTTGCCAATCCAATTCCCTCTTGAACAGCCCACTTTTGAGACGTCTCAAAAGTCTTGAACAGCCCACTTTCAAGAATTTCGCCTTTGGTGCATCCTTTCAACAAGATGCACGCCTTGCACATCTTGAGATTTGGTTCGTCCCCATGACGATATAGCAGGGGTGTGCCACTTTAACAGTCCGTTTTCTTCTTTAATAGCCCACCCTAGAGGATTTCTCCGACCCACCCCATTTGGCACACCCGCACTCACCTTATACACCCCCTTGAGTGACTGACGGGAGAAGGTTCCCAGAACTTTCTTCACAGCAGGTGAAGGAGCAGGGTAGACGGCAGAGCCTGCGCTTGCAACCTGCCGTAATCAGAAAAACAAGAGGTGAAAGAACAGGAGAAGAAAGGAGGTGGAAAAAGAGGTGAAAACAAGTAAGCCACTCACATAAGGTCAACATGGCAAAAGTGTCTTCACGGCATAAATTACTCAAGAAATGCAACTCAAAGAACAAAAAAGTATGAAATTTTGCCCCATATGACAACCTCATCTCCATCTCAAGCTTGTGCATGAGTGCGAGTAGCCGCCCCAAAGAAATGGTAACAACAACATTCCCCTTTTTCTCTTCGGGTAACATTTTAAGAACCCCCAAGTTGCACCATCGTTAACTACTCCCTCCCCCCCCCCCCCCCCCCCCCCCCCCTCCCTCCTCCCCCACAGGTCAGAAAGCCACATTACCTTGCTCCTCTTCTGAGTTGACTCAAAAGTCCCCCCCTCCCTCCTCCCCCACAGGTCAGAAAGCCACATTACCTTGCTCCTCTTCTGAGTCGACTCAAAAGTCCCCCCCTCCCTCCTCCCCCACAGGTCAGAAAGCCACATTACCTTGCTCCTCTCCTGAGTCGACTCAAAAGTCCCCCCCTCCCTCCTCCCCCACAGGTCAGAAAGCCACATTACCTTGCTCCTCTTCTGAGTCGACTCAAAAGTCCCCCCCTCCCTCCTCCCCCACAGGTCAGAAAGCCACATTACCTTACTCCTCTTCGTCTCAGGTCCACTGGAGTCCTCACTGTTGCTCTCATCCGCGTTACAAGCAACCCCTGCTTCAACACCATCCAGCACCGCTCCTGCCCTAACCTCCTCCCCAGCAGCTCCTTCCATCACCCTCTTCCCCTTCCCGCCCCTCCCACTTTCAGCAGCGGCAGCGACGGCAGCGGCAGCAGCAGCGGCAGCGGCAGCAGCAGCGGCAGGCTGTGAATCAGGGGACGAAGCACCAGGAGCAGCAGCAGCAGCAGCAGGAGGCTCTCGTGAGAATGGCCTGGAGGGATTGCTGGTCGGACGGCTGGGATTGGTGAGCGGAGGAGAGGCAGGGAAAGAAAAGAAGGTTTCTTCAATCAAACTCCTTTCAACAACTCTCGTGAAAATGATCCACAGAGGAATGTCTGGGTTGGACTGTGGTGATAGCAACTGGGGTAAAGGTAAATCCTGTGGCCCGTCTAAAAATGGTGATGGTGAGTGGTGTAAGAAAGAAAGAAGAGAGATCCCTTTCAGCCTCGCCAACAACTTCTGTAAGAATGGGCTGGCAGAGTATCTGTTCTTCTTTTTAAATTCTCAAGAAACAGTCTGTGGATCTCTGGTTAAGCGGCGTGTGTTGGACCTAAAGGACTTAATAATATTTTTATTTGTGGTTACTGGAACGGCCTGCAGGGACGGCTGTCGGTGGTGGTGAGTAGGGTAGCGTGAGCGAAAGAGCGAATGGAGATTTCCATCCACTTTTTTTCTAACAACTCTTCGAAGAATGGTCTGTGAGGTGGGGAACTTTTGAATCAAGTCCAGCATCCTTGTCAAAGGAATAGACTGGAGGGGAAAAAGGTGCTCCTGCTGCCTCCTGTGCTGCTGTTGGTGCACGCATGGACGGCTGGAAGCATGAGAAGAGAGAGGACGAAATTTCCGGATTTTAGGGTTTCAGTTTCAAACTTGACTATGGCCTGCAATTTCCTCGTTTTGGCGTTACTGGAAAGGCCTGCAGGGACGGCTGGTGAGTGGGGTACGGTCAGGAGAGGTTAGGATGAAATCTGCGCTCATTCGGGTTGTACGCACTCCTGTGGTAATCGTCTGGAGCGTTAGTTTTCCGGTTAAGGCCTGGAAAAGCACGGTGATAGCTTCGCACCTTCAATCGCGTGAATCCTTGTAAGCTGGATGGCGACTCTATCGAGAGCGAGTTGGCCGCGGCGACACAGGGAGGATGGTACCTGAGGAGCCATCATGGAGGTTTCCGGCATATGATAATAGAAAGACAGTTCTGAGTGTCCTATTATGTAATGTTCAAATAAATAAGAAAAGGTAGACGAGGAACGTAGTTAAGAACGTAAGGTAACTCAAATGAAGGACACGACGAGGATTCGCACCATTTGGTGACATCGAATCCGCCATTGCCTTTCGTCACGACGCCGACTCGAACATCATCCTTAGCTACCGCCTTGCTACAGTGCCGACACGCAGCGCGGCCCGATCGCGCGTACTCGACCACCGCTCGCGCCGCGCCCACAGCGGCGGTTGACATAGACGAGCGTCACCCTCACGCTACCTAAAAGATTAGTTTCGCAATAGCTGGGCAATATGCGGTGCAGTCTCTCCTAAAGGAAAGTGCGTTTTGAGAATGCTAGGTTCTGACTCCTGAGTCCGGAGTCCTGGCTGAGACAGTAATGGTGTGTGAATATCTCCAATTTCCGCTGATTGTGCAGTGCGGTTCAGAACGTTACCACACGGTAATCGGTCGTTGGCACCCGAGTTGACAACATATGCCACCACCGCGTGGCACAGCCGAAACGTTCAACCTATGATTGGACGTTTTAGAACGCAAAGCAACTCATTGCACCGTTACAAGCTTGAGAAGAGCCCGCGCAACATGTCATATTTACGTGGGTTGCATTCCTTGCTTGTAACTCGACTTTACCCAGTTTCGCGAGGGCGCTCGCCAGCACTGGGACCACGATATCGCACACACAGATTTCAGCGGAGACCACGAATCCTCCAATTTGAGTGGGGACCAGCCACGTTCAACAAAGCTCAGGACGCGGCACCTGTAGCACCGAACCTGCGATCGAACCTGCGCAGGTTCGATTTTTTGCGGAGTTAAGAACTGTGTATGGAATTTTAAATGCTTTCAGAGAGTTTTAGTGCGGTGCAAACAGTGAACCTGCGATCGATCCTGCAAAATTGCTAAAGGTGCCGTGTCCTCAGAAACACTCGACTCGCGGGTCCAGAGTTCGCAAGAGCTCGAACCTGAAATGCGAACCGATCGCGAACCAGATCTGAGGACACGTTGAAAGTAGACGATCGATCGTCAGTCGCGATCGATGTGCGGCTCAGTTACCCTATTTACTAAGCTGTAACCATGCTACAGTGAGCTTTTAAGCCAAATTTCTGTACAGTGTGTGAATGCAACTGATCACCGATAGCGGGAGATCTGTCAGTCCTCAGCTGCGATCGTTACAACGTCGCGGTCGCCAAGTTGCGCCAACCGATCTGCCCACTCGATTGTGGGGATCGATATATGCAGACGATCCGGCGATATTCGCACTTTCAACGCGTCCTGAGGGCTGGCAAAACTGCGTAGGGAGCAGCTCCTTGAATCAAGCTTAGGGCGTGTGACATTTTTTTTTTTGGTCCGGACTGTCAACCGTCCGGACGATGGTGTGGTTACGAAACTCGTTAAATATCAGCAGCATTTTCGTCAAGGTCTAAACGACGTCGCACGCTCCATATTGCCTCCTGACGACGTCGCACTGGTCGCAACACGACCGTTCGACGTCGCAATCTCGCACACGTCCGGACAACCGTCCGGACTTTCAGCGATTTCGAAAATTGTACAAGGCCTTAGTTCCTTGCAATTCATGCCTCGAGAACACCTGCCTCGAGAGTACCTGCCTTCTTGAACTCTTGGTTAGCAATTTGCGAATTTAGAGCATACGAGGCTAGCGAAGCCTACCAACCTAGGTCGCTGGGTTGGACTCGCGCCCTTTATGTGAAACGCCCGAACGCTGTACTCTCTTTCTTGGTTCCCTGCCTTTAATTTTGATCGATTCTAGCTATTTATGTCCAGGAATTCGCGCTCTGGTTGTCTGTTGCCTCTAGCGCGTCATCGTCGCTGGCATAACATTCGCTACATCACTATTAATTTCAGCAATTTTTGTTTTTCAACCCTCCGATGCCGTACGTACTGAATCTGTACCGCTAAATAACCCTGGCGATTGCTGCTCCACCGAGTACAGCATGACGTCACCACCTCATTACAAATGCTGAATCCTTTCACCAATACCTGTCTATTCCTCCATGGTACACATGAAATTAGGTTATAGCGAGAACATGACATGCGATCGTAAATCTTACGGCGTCAGATGGGGCCAAGCAACATCGTTTGAAGCTTTACAGTGCTGAACCTCGCACTCGAGGGTGATTTACTCTGAGAAAACAAGCGGAGATGGATCCGAAAGTCCGACTTTCTGGCGTTCTCCTGGTTGTCGCGCTGGCCTTCATCGCTCTCTCCCCACAGGTCGCCTTCTTTTCCCAGTCATACCCTCATTTCTTTTAATCTAAGAAAAAATTCGCTCTTCCTGCTGATTCACTCCGTGGCAGGGAGGGTCGACGGTTCTCACTTCTACTGCGGATTAGACTCACCTTCACTTGTGCTGACGGTGTTGCCATTCCTTGCGTGTGGTGCTGTGCTTGGGGGGGAACGAGTGGAGGAAGGACCTGGGGGAAGGATGGGGGGGAAAGGATGGGGGGAAGGATGGGGGAAGAGGATGGGGGGAAGGATGGGGGGAAAGGATGGGGGGAAGGATGGGGGGGAAAGGATGGGGGTTGGATGGGGGGAAGGATGGGGATCATTGGGGACGGGCAAGGATGAGGGGGAAGATGGGGACCAGGGGGAGAGGGTGCTGGCGGGGCAAGGATGATGGGGAGGATGGGCTAAGGATGGGGGGACGGGTTGAGTAAGGGTGGTGGCTAGGGGGGGAGGGAGAGGGGTTTGAGGGGAAAGGGGCGGGTGGGGGAAGGAGGAGGGGGGAAAAGGGGGTTTAAGTGGGGTCAGGGTCAGGAGGCGATGGGTGGGCTGGGGGATGGGGTGCTTGCATGGACAGGTGTATCTGTGCAGGTGGCATCTGCATCGCTGGTCAAATCAAATCAGATCCGATCTTCAGAGGACGTGATTGGCCAAGTGGTGGAGTTTGAAAAGGAAGAAATTGAAGCTCTGGAGGGCGGCAACGCTCGTCCACAAGCCACAGACATATCTGACCGGGGTGGGAGTGAGAGTGGAAATGGGAGGGGGAATGGGGGTGAGGAGGGGGGTGGAAATGAGGGAGTTATAGAAGTCACACAGCAGGAGGAGGAGCGGAGTTGGTGGAGGTGGGATGCGGGGAAGGGCGAACTGGTGCAGAGGGAGGGGCCAGAGGGGCTGGCTGACGGGCAGGAAACACTTTTGTGGCTGCCCGAGATCGTGTATGAGGATCTGGAGCTCATGGATTTGAGATATTTCCAGGTGGGGTGGATATTTCGAGATGGGTGAGACATTTCCAGGTGGGCGAGAGATTTTTTCTTGGAATGGGATTTTTCCAGATGAAAGAGGTTTCAGCAGGTATTTTTTGCTTGTACCTTGAAATGGCAGCCTATCCCGTGCGCATCCACCCTGGCTTCCTTTACGGGCAGTTCTGTTCACTCACACCAACCATGCTACATCCTCTCTCGTCCCACTATATAAGAGCCTGCACCGCCACCCCCGCTCCTTGCCTGCATTCTAATGCGCATCCACCCTGGCTCCTTTACGGGCAATTCTGTTCGCACTAACCTTGCTATGCTACATCCTCTCTCGTCCCACTATATAAGAGCCTGCACCGCCACCCCCGCTCCTTGCCTGCATTCTAATGCGCATCCCCCCTGGCTCCTTTACGGGCAATTCTGTTCGCACTAACCTTGCTATGCTACATCCTCTCTCGTCCCACTATATAAGAGCCTGCACCGCCACCCCCGCTCCTTGCCTGCATTCTAATGCGCATCCACTCTGGCTCCTTTACGGGCAATTCTGTTCGCACTAACCTTGCTATGCTACATCCTCTCTCGTCCCACTATATAAGAGCCTGCACCGCCACTCCCGCTCCTTGCCTGCATTCTAATGCGCATCCTCCCTGGCTCCTTTACGGGCAATTCTGTTCGCACTAACCTTGCTATGCTACATCCTCTCTCGTCCCACTATATAAGAGCCTGCACCGCCACCCCCGCTCCTTGCCTGCATTCTAATGCGCATCCACCCTGGCTCCTTTACGGGCAATTCTGTTCGCACTAACCTTGCTATGTTACATCCTCTCTCGTCCCACTATATAAGGGCCTGCACTGCCCAACCCCTGCCTGCACTGCCCAACCCCTGCCTGCACTGCCCAACCCCTGCCTGCACTGCCCAACCCCTGCCTGCACTGCCACGCCACTCCCAGCTTGTCCTCCTTCTCTCGCTGCTGCAGTGGCTGCAGACACACCTTCCCACCACCCTTTCTCAGGTCCTGCACTGCCCAGCCCCTGCCTGCACTGCCCAACCCCTGCTTGCACTGCCCAACCCCTGCCTGCACTGCCCAAACCCTCCCTGCTGCTTCTCTCGCTGGTAGAGGTGAACCAAGCCCACCAACCCATTGCCCTTTCCCCCCCCTCTCCACCTTGCCGCCCTCTTCAACCTCTCAGGGTCTGCACTGCCCCGCCCCTGCCTGCCCCTCCTTCTCTCGCTGCCGTACTGGCCGCAGGCAGGCAGGCAAAGTTATGGCGTGCACCGGAAGCGAGCGAACCCTTAGACACACCCCACTTCCTCTTCCTTCCTATCCCCTGCCTCCCCTTCTCAGGGTTTGCACTGCTCGGCCCCGGCCTGCCCCTCTTTCTCTCGCTGTCGCACTGGCCGCAGGCAGGCAGGCAGGGTGCTGGCGTGCACCGGAAACGACCCCTTATTGAGTGATCCGTTACCAGGCAGCAACAATGGTGGTGTATCCGGTCAAACTGCTTCAATGCATGCGTCAAGGCCAGCAAATTTCGGCGCGTCAGAGTCAGATTGGATGGGCACCGTAGGATCGGCTGCGACGGACGCATCAGGCTCGGCATCTGCGACGGGGCTAGGTTCGGTATCAGTGGACGCGTCTCCTCTGGTTGACCCCTTTCCTGTGTTCACCTCGCCTCCCCCCAACCACGTGAAGGAGAATGCGAGCTACGATGTGGCCGTTGCCGAGCCATACGCTGCACAGGTGGGTGTGGGGGAGTGGCTTGTTGGTGCTGAGAGGTCGTGAAGGGTTGGATGTGGTTTGGAGTGGTGATCACCCACCTCCCCTCCCCGTTTGCTGCACAGATGGGTGATGGGGAATGATTGACTAGTGGCGAGACGAGAGGTTGTGGGGGGTTGGATGTGGTGTGGTGTGACTGTGCTCGCCTCTTTCCCCCCAACCACGCGAAGGAGAATGCGAGCTACGATGTGGCCGTTGCCGAGCCTTTCGCTGCACAGGTGGGTGATGGGGAAAGTGGCTTGATGCTGCATGGGATTAGGTGTGGTTTGGTGTGGTGAGGTATGGTTGTGCTCACTCACCTCGCCTCCCCCTAACCACGCGAAGGAGAATGCGAGCTATAATGTGGCCGTTGCCGAGCCTTTTGCTGCACAGGTGGGTGATGGGGAGTGGCAGTGGCTGACTAATGGCGAGAGGTTGTGGGGGATTAGATGTGGTTTGGAGTGGTGATCACCCACCGCGCCACCCCCCAACCACGCCAAGGAGAATGCGAGCTACGATGTGGCCATCGCTGAGCCGTTTGCTGCACAGGTGGGTGATTGCGGGCATGGGTTCATGGGACATGGCATTGTGGGATCGTGAGTGTGGGGGAATGAAGGTGGGGGTATACATGTGGTTTGCTGTGTGGTTGCTGTCGCCTTCCCTGCACTTCCCCCAACCACGTGAAGGAGAATGTGAGCTATGATGTGGCCATTGCTGAGCCGTTTGCTGCACAGGTGGGTGAGGGGGAGGGGCTTGAGGTTATGGGGGATTTGACGTGCTGTGATTGTTGTGCTCCCTTTTGAGGCGCCTCAAAAGTTTGACGTGCTGTGATTGTTGGGCTCCCTTTTGAGGCGCCTCAAAAGTTTGACGTGCTGTGATTGATGTGCTCCCTTTTGAGGCGCCTCAAAAGTTTGACGTGCTGTGATTGATGTGCTCCCTTTTGAGGCGCCTCAAAAGTTTGACGTGCTGTGATTGATGTGCTCCCTTTTGAGGCGCCTCAAAAGTTTGACGTGCTGTGATTGATGTGCTGCCTTTTGAGGCGCCTCAAAAGTTTGACGTGCTGTGATTGTTGTGCTCCCTTTTGAGGCGCCTCAAAAGTTTGACGTGCTGTGATCGTTGTGCTCCCTTTTGAGGCGCCTCAAAAGATTGACGTGCTGTGATTGTTGGGCTCCCTTTTGAGGCGCCTCAAAAGTTTGACGTGCTGCGATTGTTGGGCTCCCTTTTGAGGCGCCTCAAAAGTTTGACGTGCTGCGATTGTTGGGCTCCCTTTTGATGCGCCTCAAAAGTTTGACGTGCTGTGATTGTTGGGCTCCCTTTTGAGGCGCCTCAAAAGTTTGACGTGCTGCGATTGTTGGGCTCCCTTTTGAGGCGCCTCAAAAGTTTGACGTGCTGTGATTGATGGGCTCCCTTTTGAGGCGCCTCAAAAGTTTGACGTGCTGTGATTGTTGGGCTCCCTTTTGAGGCGCCTCAAAAGTTTGACGTGCTGTGATTGTTGGGCTCCCTTTTGAGGCGCCTCAAAAGTTTGACGTGCTGTGATTGATGTGCTCCCTTTTGAGGCGCCTCAAAAGTTTGACGTGCTGTGATTGTTGTGCTCCCTTTTGAGGCGCCTCAAAAGTTTGACGTGCTGTGATTGTTGTGCTCCCTTTTGAGGCGCCTCAAAAGTTTGACGTGCTGTGATTGTTGGGCTCCCTTTTGAGGCGCCTCAAAAGTTTGACGTGCTGTGATTGTTGGGCTCCCTTTTGAGGCGCCTCAAAAGTTTGACGTGCTGTGATTGTTGGGCTCCCTTTTGAGGCGCCTCAAAAGTTTGACGTGCTGTGATTGTTGGGCTCCGTTTTGAGGCGCCTCAAAAGTTTGACGTGCTGTGATTGATGTGCTCCGTTTTGAGGCGCCTCAAAAGTTTGACGTGCTGTGATTGTTGTGCTCCCTTTTGAGGCGCCTCAAAAGTTTGACGTGCTGTGATTGATGTGCTCCCTTTTGAGGCGCCTCAAAAGTTTGACGTGCTGTGATTGATGTGCTCCCTTTTGAGGCGCCTCAAAAGTTTGACGTGCTGTGATTGTTGTGCTCCCTTTTGAGGCGCCTCAAAAGTTTGACGTGCTGTGATTGTTGTGCTCCCTTTTGAGGTGCCTCAAAAGTTTGACGTGCTGTGATTGTTGGGCTCCCTTTTGAGGCGCCTCAAAAGTTTGACGTGCTGTGATTGTTGGGCTCCCTTTTGAGGCGCCTCAAAAGTTTGACGTGCTGTGATTGTTGGGCTCCCTTTTGAGGCGCCTCAAAAGTTTGACGTGCTGTGATTGATGTGCTCCCTTTTGAGGCGCCTCAAAAGTTTGACGTGCTGTGATTGATGTGCTCCCTTTTGAGGCGCCTCAAAAGTTTGACGTGCTGTGATTGATGTGCTCCCTTTTGAGGCGCCTCAAAAGTTTGACGTGCTGTGATTGTTGTGCTCCCTTTTGAGGCGCCTCAAAAGTTTGACGTGCTGTGATTGTTGTGCTCCCTTTTGAGGCGCCTCAAAAGTTTGACGTGCAGTGATCGTTGTGCTCCCTTTTGAGGCGCCTCAAAAGATTGACGTGCTGTGATTGTTGGGCTCCCTTTTGAGGCGCCTCAAAAGTTTGACGTGCTGTGATTGTTGGGCTCCGTTTTGAGGCGCCTCAAAAGTTTGACGTGCTGCGATTGTTGGGCTCCCTTTTGATGCGCCTCAAAAGTTTGACGTGCTGTGATTGTTGGGCTCCCTTTTGAGGCGCCTCAAAAGTTTGACGTGCTGCGATTGTTGGGCTCCCTTTTGAGGCGCCTCAAAAGTTTGACGTGCTGTGATTGATGGGCTCCCTTTTGAGGCGCCTCAAAAGTTTGACGTGCTGTGATTGTTGGGCTCCCTTTTGAGGCGCCTCAAAAGTTTGACGTGCTGCGATTGTTGGGCTCCCTTTTGAGGCGCCTCAAAAGTTTGACGTGCTGTGATTGATGTGCTCCCTTTTGAGGCGCCTCAAAAGTTTGACGTGCTGTGATTGTTGTGCTCCCTTTTGAGGCGCCTCAAAAGTTTGACGTGCTGTGATTGTTGTGCTCCCTTTTGAGGCGCCTCAAAAGTTTGACGTGCTGTGATTGTTGGGCTCCCTTTTGAGGCGCCTCAAAAGTTTGACGTGCTGTGATTGTTGGGCTCCCTTTTGAGGCGCCTCAAAAGTTTGACGTGCTGTGATTGTTGTGCTCCCTTTTGAGGCGCCTCAAAAGTTTGACGTGCTGTGATTGTTGTGCTCCCTTTTGAGGCGCCTCAAAAGTTTGACGTGCTGTAATTGTTGTGCTCCCTTTTGAGGCGCCTCAAAAGTTTGACATGCTGTGATTGTTGGGCTCCCCTTGCGGAGATAACTACTACAACGGGAGCTAGACTACGGGCTAGGCACGGGTGCTCGTGTGATCTCTGCGTTCGTTGGTCCTTAGTCGTTTTCCTAGTGTACACACTGCTTGCTAGTTCACAAGGTAATTTGGCAAGAGTTTTACTAGAGAAAGTTGACAACAATGATACAATGAAGTTGGCAAGGCAAGACTACATCAGAGCTAGCATGCAAGCAGGACGACTGCCAGCGCAGCACGGTCGACCACGTGCCAGCACGACTTGGTCGACCGCGCTCCAGCGGTGCAGAGTCACGGCTTGTCAACACTGCAGGTCGACGGCGTGCCAACGTCGCAGGTTGACGGCGCGCCGACGTTGCTCCCGCAGGACAGCAGCGCACCTACTTCGCAGATGATTGGTGTGCAGTGCCTCGTCACCTGCACAGCGCACACACCACATCAACTACGTGCTGACGACTGCCTCTGATGCACCACGTCGACCTCGGGATACCATCACCGAGGTCGTCCTCGCCAAAACCACCCGGGCGAACGTCGCATGCCTCCGCAGAACCTCGTCACCCAGGTAACCTGGTCGACCAGGCAACCAGGTCGACCAGAGGCTCCTGTGCGTGCCCGTCGACCACCCAGGTCGACGACCACTTCCGGTCGACCTCCCCAGGTCGACCACTGCCTCTGGTATGTGCCGGTCGACCTCCCAAGTCGACGGCCACCTCCAGTCGACCTCCCCAGGTCGACCACTACCCCCTGGTCGACCAGCTCCAAGTCGACGTCACTCCAGGTCGACCAGAAGGTCTGGTCGACTCCTCAGGTCGACCAGAAGGGCTGGTCGACTTACCGGGTCGACCAGAAGGTCTGGTCGACTTTGCAGGTCGACCAGAAAGGCTGGTCGACTTACCGGGTCGACCAGAAGGTCTGGTCGACTTCCCAGGTCGACCAGAAGGGCTGGTCGACTTACCAGGTCGACCAGAAGGTCTGGTCGACTTCCCAGGTCGACCAGAAGGGCTGGTCGACTTACCAGGTCGACCAGAAGGTCTGGTCGACTTCCCAGGTCGACCAGAAGGTCTGGTCGACTTCCCAGGTCGACCAGAAGGTCTGGTCGACTTCCCAGGTCGACCAGAAGGTCTGGTCGACTTCCCAGGTCGACCAGAAGGGCTGGTCGACTTCCCAGGTCGACCAGAAGGTCTGGTCGACTTCCCAGGTCGACCAGAAGGGCTGGTCGACTTACCAGGTCGACCAGAAGGTCTGGTCGACTTCCCAGGTCGACCAGAAGGGCTGGTCGACTTACCAGGTCGACCAGAAGGTCTGGTCGACTTCCCAGGTCGACCAGAAGGTCTGGTCGACTTCCCAGGTCGACCAGAAGGTCTGGTCGACTTCCCAGGTCGACCAGAAGGTCTGGTCGACTTCCCAGGTCGACCAGAAGGGCTGGTCGACTTACCAGGTCGACCAGAAGGTCTGGTCGACTTCCCAGGTCGACCAGAAGGGCTGGTCGACTTACCAGGTCGACCAGAAGGTCTGGTCGACTTCCCAGGTCGACCAGAAGGTCTGGTCGACTGCCCAGGTCGACCACCCGAAGTTGGCACCCTTACGAAGTCGGCGCCCATGCAGTGGCTCCCCGTGCAGGTCGACCAACCTCGTCGACCAACTCGCCCACT